ACATGCAAATTTTTTTCTGCCAAAAAAAAAAAAAAAAAAAAGTCTTCCCCTCACCACTGCGATTTATTTTCTGTGTAAACTGTATGGAATGTGCACCGTGCAGTGTACACAGTTCAACATGCCATAAGTTTACTGGGTGTCAGGGAGAATGCAACCCCTGTGTGCACGAGCAAGAATTGCATCATCAGTGACATTCAATGGCCAAAGAGGATGCATGGGAACCCAGAAGCATCAGCAGCAGAGATGGCAGCAGAAGATAGACCTGACAGCGCTGGAGAAGGGCAGACTTGTAAGGCACCTGTGCCCTAATGTGCAAGTATACCATGCATACTTAAACATAAGGCCAAATACCAACATTTACAAAGCAGTTTACATCCGCTTTAAAATTCAGCAATTCATAAATAGGTGAACACAAGGATACCTAAAGAATAGCAAATGTGTAGTATAGTCTGAGTACAGTGGGAATGAGTGGTGCAGTCCGAGTACAGTAATATGAATATATTCTCATGAAACAAATATTTAGAGAATTTCAATTCTTGTCGGTTTCACTTGGCCAGGTAATTGTTCTAAGGTTTCAGCTGGGTGTTCACAAATGAATGGTCCCATCACAATATTTCTAAAGAGATTGGAGACAATGTAGGTAAAGTGGTGGCTCTGCCCATCGTATCATTTGTGTCCAATGATGGCAGCATTATGGGGAATCATCTAAATGTAAAATGCTGCTTTTCTATTTTTTTTTTATAGAACCTATAACCATTTAAAAAAAGGAATGTATTTTGTTTATGGTCAGGGCTACAAAATAACATTTGTAATTTTTGTCAAAAATCAATATTTTGTTCTCTGCCAAGAAAAACAACACAATATTATAATAACTGCAGCAAAACTAGAAAATCTGATGTGATGTCAGGAAATGGTCCATGCATTAGCCGATACATAGTTTGTAAACCGTACAAATTTCTGAAAGCAAATTGTTAGCTTATTATCTGGACTAGAATGCTGAGAACTACAATAGCAATTATAAGTACAGTGTATCATTTCACAGCTGCTTCCAGAAAGGGCTTTCTTGCTTTGGGTACAGACAGTTACTTTGAATTGCATCAATGTTTTGTATATTTTATTTCGATAGCATCTACTTTTTCTTCAATCTCTTTATCATAGAACACCATTCATGTCAGTCTTTTGGAAGTCTCCAATACCACAAGCGATAAAAGCTAGGAGGAAGCTCCTGACTTGTATGGGACGTGTCCAATAAAATAAATATTACTGCTACAAGGAAATACAGACATGTGCAGCAAAACAAAAGAAGCTTTAATAATCACTGTATGTTTATTTATACATTGGGTCTTCCTATATTTATATTTTGGGCAGTGACAGGTGGCAGGCATAATCTCCACCCAAAAAAATAAAATAAAAAAAAGAATTCTACTTTACAAGGTGCAGCTCTGGAAAATATTTAAAAGGAGAACTATAGGGTTAAGTATTTTCCCCATAGTTCTCCTTAGGGTAATGGGAGGACACAAACTAGCGTCCTCCCGTCACCCTGTGGCTCGCGGTATACTGAGACGCCGCAGCTGAAGCGGATCCCAACAATTGTGCCGGGATCCGCCCAGCTGCGTGACTGACAGCTGGCTCTGCCTATCTAGAGGCAGAGCCAGCTGTACCCGCCCCCTCCCGAGCCACCAGTCAGCGCTGGCGGATCGGAGCGGGGAATCCAGCCCCCCCGCTCCGATCGAGAGGTGAGCGAACACTGGTATGTGTTCGCTCACCTCCCGATCTACTGAGCCGACCTGTGACAGTCTCATTGTCACAGGTCGGCTAGAATTATGAGGTGAGTGAAAAGCACTCACCTCATAGTTCTCCTTTAAAAGGTAAAGTATAATATATTGAGCCATTTCTGCAGTATTTTCTTACAATAAATTGATACATTTCATACCATTTTACAAGCCTGTGTATATCCATGTCAGTTACTGTATTAAATATAAAAATTTGTAGATTAACCACCAGAAAGATCTGTATGACTAAATCTTGTTCAGTCGCTCTTCCCAACCATTGAGATTAGTCACAAGGAGTGCACCCTTTTTAACCCTGTCATGGGTCCTTAACCTCCCTGGCGGTATGATTATGTCAGGAATTTTGTACCAAAAGGGGTACAATTTTTTGCATGGAAATTTGTTGTTTATATTGTAGGCTTGTAATTCTTAGTAAATCTTAGGAATAACTCACCTAAGGCTGCGTTCACACCCGACCGTTTTGTAGGGCGTTCTACGCTCGACGAACGCTCTACAAAACGGTCAAAAATATAAATTGCATTGTAGTCAATGCCCTCGTTCCCACCTCGCCGTATTTCCGCCCGTCCCTAGCGCCCTACAAAACGGCCCATGCCTGAAAAGGTCCCGGGACTACTTTGGGCCGTTTTGTAGGGTGTTTTCCATTGGGATACTGCCATGTATACGCCTAGGTGTGAATGGGGTGTAAATCTGTCCAAACAAGAGTACAGTAGACATCCCAGGTATGATTAAAGTATTAAACAGAGTCCTGGTGGCTTTTAGCAGCCAGGAGTCTGTTTATTTGTAGAGAAGTAGGCCAGCTTTACAGTAGAAGTGATTCTGGCGGCTCAGCTGCTGCCAGATCACTTCTACGATCCGGTAAAGTAAAAGCCCCCCACCCGTTCTATGGGACCGGGAACGATGCGTATAGCATCACTTCCGGGCTCCTGAAGTTCAGCAATAAGCTATTTAAGTGTGATTGCTAAAGAACTACCATGCCTAAAATTGGCCATAGGCAACGCTTTAAAAGCTTTTACCGCTCATCAGTTTATTCAGCAGAGAAGGTCTCCATCTTACCAGACTACAGAGTCAACATGACCAATCTGGCTGTTCAGAAAGAAAAGCCACAGACAGATAAAGAAAAACTGATAACCCCTCAGCACTTGGAAGACTGTGGTGGCTACGGAAATGACAAGTAGGAAGTGTCATGGTGGCTAATTTGACAAAAGAATGGTGTAAGGGACCCACAAATCTAAAATGACTCTCTGCATCTACACGCATCAGAGTATAGAAAAGCTCACTACATTAGGCTGGGTTCACACCTGAGCGTTTTTTCATGCTCATTTTTTCATTCAGTGAAATGCACGTTTCACTGGCGGTATGACTTTGTGGGGGTTTTTTCCCTTTATTTTCTCTATTTAAAAAAAATAAAATTATTTTTTAGTTTCACTTTTAAACTTCCCGCCGGCTCCGCCCCCCTGTGACGCGCCCGCTCGCATGGGAAGGAACCCAGAATTCGGCAGCTGCCGAAGACACAGCGGGGACAGGTCTTACAAGGTACAGGTCTTACAAGGTAAGACCTGTACACTGTATTCCCGAGTGTGGCTCGGGGTTACCGCGTTGTTAACCCCGACCCACACTCTGGAATACCAATGGCAACGCGCGGCAAAACGCCCCAAAGAAGCTGCTGTACTTCTTTGGGCGTATTGCAGCGCGTTCCTAAGCGCTGTAGAACACCCAGGTGGGAACCATGCCCATAGGCAATCATTGTTTTCACATGTTGAGCGTTTTACAGCGTGTAGGAACGAGCTGTAAAACGCCCAGGTGTGAACCAGGCCTTAGAGGCACACTCGGGACTTGATACAAGGAAGATAAATAGTGCCATCTATTGTATGTCTGAACTTTAATAAAATATATACTTTTCTTTTTTCACCATGTAAATTTGTATATTCCAAACATCAATAAGTCCTGGTTTACAATTCGGCGTTTTTCAGCAGTAGAAAAATAACTTTTAAACGCCTAACAAGAAATCACATGATTTTCAATGACCCCTTTCACACCTGAGCAGCAAAATGCCAAATGCAGAGAAAAGTACATAAACTTTTTTTTGGCAGTTTCAAGCTCGCCCCCCCCGCCCATAGACTTAATTGGAAATGCCAGGAAACACACGGCAGAAGCATGTTGCACATTTCCATGCAAATTTCTGTATGCCTTCGTCCATTGACCGCAAGGTTTCTTGAGCTGCCAGTCAAAACGAGCATCATTTGCGTGCGTTTAACATGCATAAACATGCAAAAACTATGCCGCCTTGGTGTGAACGGGGCCTTAGGCAGCCAAGGGAAAGCAGAGAGTCAGGAAGTACATCTCTGGCTACGTGCAACCTTCCAAAGCCAATAAAATGGATCTGACACTGGCAAACCTGGACATGTCTCATGTTGTTACGAATAGACAATTAAACAAAACTCATTGTAGTTTCACAAAAATACAAGCTGTGCAGGTTTCATCGTATGCAGCTACCATTATTTTAAAGTGACATCACTGGCTAAAGTCACAACACACCCTTAATTACCTTGTTTGAAGTTCTAAATCAGCCAAACGAATAACAATAAAAAAACACCTCTAACAAAACGGTGTGTGCACCATTCTGTGAGCATACACAAAGAAAAACTATAACTAATGCCCCATTCACACCGGGGCAGTTGCGGATCAGTGCGGTTTCCACAGGGGGCAAAAACGCCCAAAAACATGCAGTTCCATTGAAAGCAGTATGGAAACAGCGCTGATCAGCATGGCAAAAAAAGGGTCAGGGAGCAATTCGGAAAAGAGGCGGTTCAGGTCGCACGGAGTCGAGCAGTCGTACGAACAGTCTCCATATCAATGTACGGGATCGTTCATGTCGGCGGATCTTTAAGAATGTAACAAGCAGATAAATACTACACAAAAAAAAACAAAAACAGGTCTCCCCACTTTCTGGAGCTACAAAGCCTCAACATAGCCTCCCAAAGCCTGGAACACACAGGCAGTGCAAAGGGCAACATCACATAACACAGCATCAGTAACACTTTAATTTACCGCAGTCAAAAGGAAAGTTGCATCTTTACTGGTTGTGTGATGGCGCTGTACTTGTCTTTATAGACTGTAGCTTATTTGGTGGTCATTTGGTAGAAAACAGTCGTGATGCACAGATACCGTGTGCCACGATTATCAGGAAGCCGGGCCGGGGATTATGACCTGCTGCCCGGCTTCCTGATTGCCTTGGAAGTTGGTGTCCTATCAAAAGAACATTGGCTTCACTTTGAGGCTGCCTGACCAATCAGGAAGCCGGTCTTAAGGTGCCAACCGGTAGTTGGCTAGGAAGCAGGCTTAACTTGTTGCTAGGCAGCATGGCTTCCTGACCAATCAGAAAGCTGGGAGACAGGTCATGACGTGCCGCCTAGCCAATCAGGAAGCCAGGTCATCACTGAAATTAACTTAAAGTGACACACACACACCTACTACTTTAAGGACTTTACTTATGGCCCGGCTCACACCTGAGCGTTCACCTAACAGGTGAAAACCCATGTTTGCCTATGGGCATGGTTCTCACCTGCGCGTTTTACCGCGCATACGATTTTTGCTGCGCGTTTCTTTTACGGCAAATCGCGGTAAAACCGCGCAGTAAGAAACACGCGGCAAACGCGAGTTTCCAATACGCTATGGTGTGAACCCAGCGTAAATGATGCCTCTTGATCCGAACATCATCTTCCTTCCACTTGTATTCAGCAATCCCTCCAGTGCTGGTGGCAGTCTCTGAACCAGACCGCCACCCGCAGTGCAGACTCTTCATGTCCCACAATGTCTGTCCGATTTGCACACTCATGGCTGCATGCATTGACTTACAGCGCGTCTCTCCCCGCCGGTGATGTCTACTGTGCATGCGCCTTCATTGGAGAGATGTGACCATCTGCATTGTCACTGCTGATTCACAAGCCTGTCAATCAGGCCACTGGAGGTCCAACTTTCAGGGATTTCCTGGAAACTGCAGTTGCCATGGTGTGAGATAAAGGGATTGTGGCATCTCTGAAGGCAACAATCCTTTGACTTGTAGTACCTCTACAACTGCAGTAATGCTAGCATTTATTGTTCCCCCATATACATGGACACCTCATTGGATAGGGACTGTATTTGATCTACCGTTGGCATATAGAAAATATGGCACAGCCGCATTGGGACCCGTAGTTAACCCCCATACTGGAGGACAGCAGTAGCGTTAGCTTAATGCTTCTGGTCCGGGCGTTTTCTACTTTGGTTGTCACTGTTTTCTGATTAGTCAATTAAATTTATGGCCCGAAAGAATTTCACTACACACAGATATACCCTTCAGTGCCCTTTCCATAGACCTCTGTTCCTCCAGAAGCTGGAGCATAGTAATGCTGGAACCTGTAGTCTCTTCTCTTCAGCTAGAGTGGAGCATGCTGAGACAGTGATGCTGGGACCTTGGTACCACTCCTACATTACCCACCTTCTGCCACATCCTCATCTATGGCACCTTTGACTTGGGAGAAACACCACTGGAAGTCATTCCCTCCGGACACTCCTGAAAGACAAAACACATACAGAACAGGTGAGAGGAGGAGATCGGTGCTGCAGGAGAGAGAAGTAAAATGTGCCGGGGACGCATAGAGGGCGAGATGGAAGCCGGGGACGCATAGAGGGCGAGATGGAAGCCGGGGACGCATAGAGGGCGAGATGGAAGCCGGGGACGCATAGAGGGCGAGATGGAAGCCGGGGACGCATAGAGGGCGAGATGGAAGCCGGGGACGCATAGAGGGCGAGAGGGAAGCCGGGGACGCATAGAGGGCGAG